TCAGAATACAGGGCTGGGAGTAAGGTGTAAGAAAAACTGGAAAGGTAGGAGGAGCCAGGCTATGAAGGGCTTTGAATGCCAAACAAAAGATTTTTTTTTTGATTCTGGAAGTAATAGGGAGTCACTGGAGTTTATTGAATAGGGAGTTGACTTGAACATTGAATATCTGAACATTAGGGAGATTAATTTGACAGCTGAGTGGAATATGGAATGGGAGTGAGGAGAGATTTCAGGCAGGGAGGCTAACCAGCAGGCTATTGCAATAGTCTAGGTATACAATGATAAGGGCCTACACCAGGGTGGTATCAGTGTCAGGAGAGAGGAGGGTGTGTATTCAAGCAGTGTTATGAAGATGCCAATCAGGGCTTGGCAATGAATTGGCTATGGAGGGTAAGAGTGAGGAGTTGAGGATGACCGCTAGGTTGCAAGCCTGGATGACTGAGAAGATGGTGGTGCCCTTAATAGTAATTGGAAAGTTCAGAAAGGGGTATTCATTCCAAACAAAATAGCAGCAAAATTAAAGAGGCAGACTGTTATAGTGCAAAGACACTGAATTTGGAGTCAGAGGACCTGGGGTCAAAATCTAATGCAGCCATGTCTTGTGTGACCTTGATAAACTGCTTAATCTTTCTGGGCCTCAGTTTCCTTAACTGTAAAATAAGGATGTTGGACTTGATTGGGGTGGAAGGAGCATGAACTTGGTCAAGAAAGGTGTCAGCAGTAGAATGTCAGAAATAGATGAGGTACATGGATATGAACAAATGTCCAGGTCTGAGCCTCTAGTTAGAAGCCTTTCTAGTCAACTAATTATAGTTGTTTCCTTCACCAGACCTAGGTATTCAGAATGGCTCAGACCTGGACTTCTCTGTTACACATATATATCAGAGAGTGGTCTGCGTTGGGTGTGAAGCTTTACATTCTACTTAGCAGGGTAGCAAAGGAAGCACAGGATATACCTTGAAGATGCTGTGGAGCTGAACCTTACAGGCCAAGGGAATGATGATTTTGGTAAAAGGGAATGATCCAAGGAAATGGTCATTTAGTCTTTGGAGTACTGGGTGGTTTTTTTTAATTACACAATTTTTCAATTAACAAGCATTTACTTCCTCTCTCACTCACTTCCTCCCCTTCCTCCACGGAAATAAACAACAAGACCTTTGTAACAAATATACAGCATAGTCAAACAAAACAAATTCTCAAATTACCAGTGTCCAAAAAAATGAGTGTCTCATTCTGCACCCTGAATCTATCCCCTCTCTGTCAGGAAGGAGGTGAATAGCATGCTTCATTGTCATTGTTCTGGAATCATAGTTGATCATTGCATTGATCAGAGTTTTTAAGTCTTTAAGTTTTTTTTTTTTTTTGGTACAATGTTGTTATTACAGTATAAATTTTTCTCCTGGTTAGGCTGACTTCACTCTGCATTAGTTCATACAAATCTTCCCAGGTTTTTGTGAAACTATACCCTTTTTCATTTCTTACAGAATGATAGTATGCTGGGTGCTTTTAAAATACCAGGTAGTCAATACCTGGCTCCCAACCAGCAAGAGTTTTCCTTGGCTTTGTTGTTTATGTAATTTTGTGGTTGGGTGTAGGAGCACTTGAGTGTTGACTCAGTTGGCTTGGAACTCTGTTACAAAGGGATTTATGTCTTTTATAACCAGGATAGCAGTGAAGGGAATAAGTGCCAGGAAATAATGTGGGAGAAACAATAGCTTGAATGAAAAGGTGATTTGCCTGGAGCAATACATAACTCTGAGCAGTGAGAGGGTAATAAGGCCTGATTTTCTTGTTGGTAGGTGGCAAAGCACTGGAGGTATTGTGATTGTGCATGGTTTGGTTTTTTGTTTGTAGAGAATATCTATACTTTGATCTTGAAGGTGGAGAAGAAGTTCTGCCCAAAGTATAAAATTAATTGAAGTCTATCGTCAGAAATTATCTGGTTGGGGAACCCATAGAGTTGGGTTTTGGTGGTGAAACCATACATCAATGGAGTATCTGGCTTCCAGGATCCAAATATAGGTTTGATTTTCAGCAACGATTTCTCACAGGTAATATATTTTATATTTGTGTGGTGGAGAAGTAAGTATATGGTTATAAATATGCTTTTCCCTTGCTAGACTGGGATAAGACTATACTTCTCATTATGTGGGAGGCATTAGTAAAGGGCCATTGTGGCCCAGGGTTGATGTTGTATTAGATTTTTACCTCAAGGTAACAAAGACTTGATTGGCTTCAGAGGGAACATTAGAAAATATTATTCTTTTGCAGTAGATTACTGAGGTGGAATGGTTAAGCAAGATTCACTTGTAATATGAAAAGACAAGTAGCGCTCTGCAAATCTCAGGAAATACCAAACATCCTTGAAAGGTCACAAAATACATCAGTTTTGGGTTACATTTACCTTATATGGATCCTTTTGGATACTGCTAAAAGATGATATACTCTAAGATATAGTAATTCAATTCAATACAATGCACATATTAAGCACCTACTGTGTGTTAAACCCTAGGTAAGATATAAGGTTTAAATAAAACATAGTCCCTGCCCTCGTGGAGCCTATAGCTAGTAAGGTGGACACTCATGCAAATAACTATAGTACAAACAAATGGATAAATACATCAGGAAGGTGCCAAGTGAGTTCCAAGTGGGAAGGTGGAGGGAGAGTGTGGAGAAGTGAAGCAGAAAAGACTTCCTGGAGGAGGTATCATTTGAGTTTGGCTTTAAAGGTTGGTAAGAATTTATCGGGGGCAGCTAGGTGGCATAGTGGATATAGCTCTGGCCCTGGAGTCAGGAGGACCTGAGTTCAAATCTGGCCTCAGACACTTGACACTAGCAGTTGGACCTTGGGCAAGTCACTTAACCCCATTGCCTAGCTTCCCCCACCCCAAAAAAAATAATTTATCAAATGGGAAGAGGGTTCAGGAAGAGAGGGGAGAGAGCATTCTAGGCATAGGGAATAGTGTGGGCAAAAACAGAGTCAGGAAAGCATAGGAAGTCTAAGAGAATAGTTCAGCATGCTATTTGGAAAGACATCATTCTCAATCTCCTTTTCTATGAATGTTTTGTGTATGTATGCTTGTATTTTTGTAACAACAAAAATTTCCTATAGAAAGGAATTTTCTGGTAGATTATATGGGTTTTTTTTGGGAGGGGGACTAGGAATTTTCCAAAACAATCAAGTTATATTTTAACCTTTTGCATTTGATATACACCTCTATTTTCAAGGAGAAATCTGTGCATGTGCGTATGTGATTTACTGGGTTTAATAAATGCTATTGTCATGATTGAAAGATCTTTGGGTTTCCACAGCAAAGAGTATTCTGGGAAGCAGAATCCATTTGAATCCCCCATTTTTTTTTTTTTTTTGCTGGTCTGGGAGACAAATGAGCAGAAATGAATAGGGAACATGATGAAGGAATGTCAGAAGGGCAGAAAAGGAGATGAATGTGTTGAAAATGGGGATATGATAAAGGGAGAAAGGAGATGTAATTGGAAAGAATGGCAGGAGAATGAGGATGTAACACAAAAGGGGACAATGGGGGCTATGAAGAGTGGATGTGATGGGAGATATGTTAAGGGGTTATATGATGAGCAGGGAGGAGATAGGATCCTTGATGGAGGGCGATAGAGTAAATAGTGGGGCAAAGATAGAGAGGGTGATGGAAAGAGGAGGAAGAATATAATTTGGGGAGGATGGGGGAGAATGGAAGGCATGTTGGAGAGAACCAGACAAGTAATTTAGGACATGATGGAAGGATGAGGGATATAATACAGGGAGGAAAAGGAAGAGAAGAATGGGAGAATACAGAGATGAGGGGATATAAAGGAAGTTTTGTACCTCTAGTTTACTTGTAACAGCTGGTCCTTAGATGCACTTATGGAACTTTGGGAAGAGAAAACTTGGGGAATGACCAGAAAGGGCAAGCTGGAAACTGTGTAGTGAAAGGCAAGAGCCCTTAACAAAAAGTCTAGCATTTGGGGTGAGGGAATTAGGGAAAACTCTGGGAATAAGGGAAGATGATTCTAGGAGTATATCTGGGATCTGGGGAAAGGTTTTTGTTGGAGAGGGGTAGGTCTAAGAGAGGGGAAAAACGCCCAATTGGTAGGGCCAGGATTAAGGAGAGAGGTACTCTAGAGGAGGTGTAGGTAGAGAATGGGGTTAGGGAGTTGGCAAAGGGAAGACGGGTCTTTGGAAGTAAGCTGGGGGAGGGGAGAGACTAAAGATTTCCTATAAGATCAGAGGGGGAGGGGCTCATATAAAAGCTTCCAGACCAGTAATGGAGGGATCCATTCCCCTGGCAACTAGAACCCTTACTCCATAGCAACAATAATTACAATTGTTAGGGGGCTGGTTTCTGAGGGGGTAGTAGGGCCTGACAGAATGGGGATAATGGGAAGTACACGGGAGGGGGTGCTACGAATAAGGACAATGGTAGAGCTGGCAGTGAAGGCCGGAGGCAGGCAGAGGGGTGGAGGCTAGAAGGTGTTAAGAGTGAGGAACTTGAGAGGGGCTGGCAGAAGGCGTATAGGAGGATGGGACTGTCAGTGGGGGCGTTGAGGAGGCTAACAGAGAGGGTGTTGGAGGTGAGGCCTTGAGGGAGAGGGTTAGTAGAGAGGGTGGGGAAGGGCTAGCAGAGGAAATGTTGGAAGAGGGGATCTAGAAATGGGGGCTGCGAAAGAGTAAGGTATGAAGTTAGGTTTGCCTTGAGGAGGGGAACATTTCTTCCCAGAGGGTTGTCACTACGAGGAGGGGAAGCAGTCTCATTGGTAGAGGTGGGGGTCAGATTCCGTGGAACGCCCGTGGAGTGTCCTTCCAGTGGGGGGGCAAGAAGCGGCGGGCAAGGAGATGAGGTTCTGTCTCAGGAGCCGGAGGGCAGTCCCTGTGTGGGGCCAATAGGGCCGGTCAAACTGACCCTGAGTATGACCAATGGGATCGGACAAGGGGGTGGGCTTTATCCTACAAGGCCTATAGAGCCAGTGGAGGGCGGGGCGTCAGAATGACGTTGAGTGGAGGGCCGCTGCTTGGCCGGGTCTTGCAGCTGAGAGCCGCCCCCGCCCCCGCCCCTGCCCCTGGCGCGGCCCAGGGACCCCAGGCCCTGGAAGCTGCAGCCAAACGCTAGGGGCCCGCCCCCTCCTTTCCATCCCCCTCCCACCCCTCACCTCCCATCTCCCCATCCAGAGAGCCCAGTACCAGGTTCTAGACTCCTGCTTTTATCCACTTATTTCAGGACCCTCACCCCCCCCACCCCGCCCCATTCCAGGACTACCTCCTTCTCCTCCCATCCCTGGAGTCCCCTTTCCCCCGCCCCTTTCACTTCGCCTCATCTCCCCTCACATCCTGGAAACACGCCTAAATCCTTGCTCCATCTCTTCTTTCTCATTATGGAACAGAACAGCGGCCTTTTCCCACTTCAGCACCAAGAACAGCCCCTCTTTCTCCAGTCGCAACCCATCTACCTGTCTCTCTCTCAGCAGGACTCCCTTCCTCTTTCCCAGCCTCTCTCTCAGCCCCAGCCCCTTTCTCAGCCCCAGCCTCTTTCCTTGTCTATTCCCCAACCTCTGTCGCTACGTTTGAACCAGCCCCTGTTTCTCTCGCAGCCTCTTTCACAGCCTTTGCCCCTCTCTCAGTCTTTGTCTGTTTCCAAACCCTTATCCCTTTCCAAATCTCTATCCCTCTCCCAATTTCTGTCCCTTCCCCTCTCCCAGGCGCTGCCTCTCTCCCAGCCCCTGTCCCTGTCCCTCTCCCAGCCTTGGCTCTGGTCTGGGCTCCAACTGCCACCTTCACTGTTCTTGCTGCTGCTGCTGCTCTTTGTGCTGTGCCCAGGGGCTGGTGAGTGCAGAAGCAGAGAGGCATTGGAGGCTAGAAGGGGGTTTGTCCTGGAAGAAGGAAAGCAAGGAGAAAGGGGAGGGAAGGAAGAGTGAGAGAGGAAGGGGAGGGATGAAGAAAGGAATGAGCTAGTTATGAAACGGGGAAATCAGATTGGGAAAGAGATATTGAAGAGACAGGAAACTCCCGGGGATAGAGGGGCTGTAAAAGTGGGGGCTACAGGGTCGGGAGGTGGGATACAGTGTGAGGGGCAAAGGCTCTCTGTATATTGTGTTTTCCCCCATCCCTCATTCCTGTTGCTTGCTTTCTCAAATAGGGGTTATCATCACTGGGGATAGGGGTGAGAGGAGAAGATGCCATTAAGTAGTTTCTCGATTTTGCCATTAAAGTCTGATGAGGGAAGCTCTAGCCTTTGTCCTTGGGAAGCCTCCAGTCTGATTCTTGAGACAGGAAACACATAACATAGATTTAAGAGAGTAGTTTCCAAGAAACATGTTTTAAATGTAAAGAGATACAGGACAAATCCTATTATAACTGACTGAGGGAATGTTCAAATTCTTTATCTGTACTGTATCTTTTCCTTATAAAAGAATATTGCTTAAAGTAAGTTGAATGTCTCAGATAATTGCAAAAAAAAATTAGTATTACCATCAGGTGATTGCATTTCTAATTTCCTTTAGAATCAGAAGATTTTGAAGTTGGAAGGAATCTTACAGATAATCTAGTTTAACACCCTTAATTTACAGATTAGCCTGCCGAAGTGCTAGGTAGGTTAAATGACTTGACTGAACACATAATGAATTAGTGGAAGGGCTGGAACAAGAACACAGGTCTCTCAATGTCTAGTCCAGTGGTCTTTTATAAGTACACCATGTTGTCTCCAACAGTAGTTCTCTGTCTGGGACACAGACTAAGACAAAGGCAGTGAAAGGGCCAATTTCTAACCACTAGACCACCAGGGATCATGTGCACACTATGTCTGTGCATGAGATTCTCTTATGGAAAAACATCACTCTTGTGCCTTCTGCTTGTGCTCTGGGTCCAATCAGGTTGCAGTATGAGACTTATATGGAAGGTGAGTGGACTTGGTGAGGTAGGATAGGGTCTGGAGCTACAAGTCCCAGGTAAGAGATAAGAGATCTTATATTGTACTTGCTGGTACAAGATCTCTCCTTGTACTGCTGCGATAGCTATCATAACCCTTTTCTGTTGGTCGGATGTACTTAAAGAGTAGAGAGAAATATTCAGGGAATTGAAGTAAGAAGTCTCAGTCAGGGAAGCCAGAGGAAATGCAAAAAATGTACAATTCCACCCTTGTGACTCATCTAAAAGACATAGAGGAAAGAACAATGGACCCAGAGAAAGACTCCTAGGACATGTTTGTTCTAGCTGTATGGCTGTGGGAAAGAATAATAATGATACACTGCTTTGAGGAAAAAAATATTGTAAACCTTGAAGTGTACATAAATGAGTTATTATTTTTGGTAATGAGAGTTATTATTTTTTGTCCTTAAAATTATAAAAGTGCACTTTCTTTTCTTTTATTCTCATTCATGTTTTTACTATTATGATAAGTAGTGAAAAAAAAAGTCCACATCATTGAACTGAAGCAGTGGAGGCCTTCCTGGGGGTGCCTGGGGTTACCTCAGCTGCTGCATTTACTCCAACTTGGATTTATACATTAAGGTATAGGAAAGATGGATATAGTTGGGGGAGGGGGAAGAGCTTCACTCGCTAGTCTTACCATAGGATCAGAGGATTTAGAGCTTGAACAGATGTTAGGGTCCAATCCTTTCATTTTACAAAGATGGAAACTGAGGCTTAGAGGTTAGGTGACTTATCCAAGGTCAAACAGAATAAATAGAATTCAAATCCAGATTCTCTACACCCCTTCAAACTTCTATTGATGTTCAAGGACTTTAATTGGAAATAAATGCTCTATGGCAACATGTTACCTTTTCTCTCTCTTATTTTTCTTTTTTTGGAAACTCAAAAATTAATTTCATTCCTAAACCAAATTTATTGAGCCACTGATTGAAGTATGATTAGAGGCACAGAGTATTGTTCGAGGACAGGGAAGAATGTATTTAACTAGAGACTTGCTCACTTGATCAAGACAATGTTAAATTAGAATAATAGGGGAGAGAGAAAAAATGCCAAGTTTCTGTTAAATCAGAAACTTGGAGGATAGAAAAATAGTAATTGTGGAAGAAATGCACAATAATTTACAAGATAGCCAGAAATGGTGTTTGTAATGCTACTCATGGACTCAGATGTCTATATAGAAAATAGTATGAGTTAGAAACAAAAGGAAAGCATAGTGGTAGATCATTTCATTGAGGATAAAAGGAGAGGGCAGCAAGTAGTGTTGTTGTTGAAATATATAACAGACTTCCAGACCAGATGAAGGATATGGATCATACCTTTACAAAATAGATCACAAAAACTGGCACAGAGGCAAGGTATGGAAATGATGGAGAATTTCACATTTCCCAGTCTCTTTTGGGAGTTTTATTCAACTAGAAGTAGAGCATTTGATAAATTCTTGAATGATTTGCCAACAATTTGATTTATCAGAAAGTAGAAGAAGTAAAAAAGGATACTGTTTCTTTGGGCCTTATTCTGATTTGTGCAATTTGGTGACTTGAATCAGAAGTCTGCTATTTTGTACCTGTGTGGCACTTAGCATTTCTGAGCCTTGGTTTCCTCCTCTGTAAAACAAGGGGGTTGGTTTAGAGGATCCAAGGTCCTTCCAGTGTTGCATCCTAGGATCCTATAATTTTCTTGTCTTATATCTTCTTCTTCTTCTTCTTCTTCTTCTTCTTCTTCTTCTTCTTCTTC